TTTACATCGTCTCAGAAACGAGTCATTTCCCTCGGAAGGAGGTCCACACAGTCAATCTCAGCTTTGTGTTGAATCCAACATTTGATATTGCAATAAACCGGTCCTAAATTCTCGTGTGGCGGACTGTTAGCAAACTTTTAACAGTCCTACTGTGAGGGCAGGGTTCTTCCAATTGTCGCCGAGTGTAGGGATGATGACTAAAGGACACCTAGATCAACTTGACAAGCGACAACAGGGATTTCACCACCGTCGACAACATATCGTGTGTACTGACTAGCAGCTCCTATTCGGAGCACAGAACACGGTCAGATTTATGGGCACCAGCCATGAGGCAGGCCATTCCAAGCGCCTATGCAAGGCACTCTGAATTGCTTCCGAACCCCAAAGGACCCACAATCTTCTAGTACTTAATGTCGTCAACGGCAACAGTAGTAGTAGTAGTAGTAGTAATAGTAGTAGTAGTAGTGGTGGTAATCATAGTTATAATCGTAGTAGTCGTATTATTCGTGGTCGTAGTCCTAGTCGTAGTCGTAATCATCATAGTCATAGTCGTAGTCATTAGTCTAGTCATTAGTCATAGTATGTGAATCGGTCTATTGAGTAGACAAAGACAAACGAAACCATAGAAACCACTGGAAGGAGACAGATTTAACACCACATTATCATCATGGTACGTTAACTGAAGGTGAGCAACACGATTCAGCTATTGTGCTGTAATAAAAGAAATAGCGGGACCTTCTTTGTCATTTTGCACACGCCATTTTTCATTTTTTTGTCTTTTTACATCGCTAAACATTAAGCGTTTATATCCATACATTTATGTACCAAAATCCTCCAATAGTTTCGATTGCACGCATACCCTAAATTGTTTCCAGCCGTCGGCACTCTTCGTCCTTCGCTCCCCAACCGGGCAGACGTGTGGATCCAACGGTGGCAAGGCTTGAAGACAATGATTTCATATATTGTCGCCAGCTGGATGGCTAACCACCACGTGATCACTTCCAGCCGAGTCTTACACCAGCGAAAAGGGTGCAGCGGGGCAAACGCTCAACTGACATACGCAAGGCGTAACTGAGACATCTTAACGGGCGCTGCAAAACCAGCTCATTGTAGAGAAAACTATTATTCCCTATGACACGACGTCTGACTTGACTGCTACAAATACGTTGTAAAGGTCGTCAGCAGACATTAGTGACGACACTCGCATACTGTTCGCCAAGTATACAATCCTTATCATAGTCGGTGTGCGCACGGATCCCGTCTGCTCGCAGTAATAATTCGCACCTCTGCACCACTTTACCTAAATAAAGGACTTGGGATTAGCTGCGGCCGAGTCAATTAAACCCTACTGGTATTGGAGACGAGCAGTCCTCACATGTTGCTTACATTTATTTCTGACCTCCCGATAACTCTCGCTGGTGTTCGCTAATGGTGCTGCCTGGTAGATTCGCCAAAATCTAGACGTTTTCTTTAGTAGGTGTTCGCCTATAAAATCTATCCACGGACCCTGTTCGCTAACGCTATTTTCCTCGTGACTGGAATGTATAGAGAAGAAACCTTCGCAAGATATGCACTAAATTCATCCCAGGCTAACTGGACAGAGTTGTAAAACAGTAGGCTTCCTTCAGCCAGTTCGTTAACGCAGAGAGAAGACAGAGGTTGCGATATGTCAACATTTCGATTGTGCTCTTCAGTCGCAAACACAATACGAGCAGAAACACACAGGATTATATACATGGGAAAAAAATAAGCAACACCGATCAAAATGTCACAGTCAAGATCATGGTAACCGAATTGATTGCCTCAAGAGTTTCTGTGCACATAGCACAGGTTGATAAGCCTTAATTAACTAGGCCCAATCCGAGTGCGATAAGCCCAACCACGTCGCAACAACATTTCCGCAGCCAATGACAATGACTCGAGCACAACCGCTGAAAACAAGGATTCACCAACGAGAACGAGGCAAAGTTAATAGCCCGTATGCCTATATAAGGAACGGAGTGGTTGCTGAGAGTATCCATTATTGGGTTTGCTTTCTATCAGCTACTGCTACTTAACTGCTATCAATTCCGCACTGAAGATGCCACCTCGAATGGTGGCGAAACGTCTGCAACCAAGTTGCCCAGCTCGGAGAACTCCACAACAACTGAGCAAGCCTCCCGAGCTACCAATATTCCAAATCATTTTGGGCACTTGAACTGCTAAACAATGCGATAGGCTGAACTACCCGTCAAGATGCTCTGACGGTTATGAAGAACAAGTCCTCGCGTGGTATGCCTGAGTCGCAACTGGGCTGTCGTGTAGGTGCGCGTTATGGCGGACCGGAGCTTGTGTTCGATATCATTTGCCACATGGTCCCCCTTGAACGGCAAGAACAAATAAACATCCTTTTTCTCAGCCGTCAACACTGGTGCTTTCACGCTGGGAGGTCTGCTGTGTACTTGAATAAACCTCTCAGGATATCCGTTAAAAAGTAAGGTCTTGCGTAAAATTTCTTCTTCGGCTTTTAATGTTTCGGGGCTGCAAATACGTCTAGCCTGGTAGAAGAGAGTATTCGCTAAGCCGCGTTTGTATGCGATCAGGGAAAAGCTTGAAAAATTAAGGTACTGTCCACTCCAAGTCGCTTTGAGGTGAACACTGCGGTGCAACGTGCCTTCAGCCCGTCTCCTAATGAGTATATCCAACATCGCAAGGCAATTGTGTTGTTCCACTTCACGAGATACCGACAGATTAGGGTGAATCGAATTCAGTATGCTCAGCAGCCGGGTGAAGTGTTCGCCTGTGATTTTATGTGGAGTCAGAAAATGTCTGTGTGCCTGCCAGTGGAGTATTTAAATGATATGGCTCTAGTTTGCACTGAGAACCTACGGTTTGAATTTCAGGGGACCGTATACAAAATGATTGACGGGGTAGCTATGGATAGCCCTCTGGGACCAGTTTTAACCGACATCTTCCTCGGCCTGATGGAAAGGCAAGTTGCTACTAGCATTTGTGGAGCGAAATTGTACAGACGATATGTGGATGACATTTTAGTCTTCACCAGCGAGCATTTTACTCGGCTGCTGAGCATACTGAATTCGATTCACCCTAATCTGTCGGTATCTCGTGAAGTGGAACAACACAATTGCCTTGCGATGTTGGATATACTCATTAGGAGACGGGCTGAAGGTACGTTACACCGCAGTGTTCACCGCAAAGCGACTTGGAGTGGACAGTACCTTAATTTTTCAAGCTTTACCCTGATCGCATACAAACGCGGCTTAGCGAATACTCTCTTCTACCAGGCTAGACGTATTTGCAGCCCCGAAATATTAAAAGCCGAAGAAGAAATATTACGCAAGACCTTACTTTTTAACGGATATCCTGAGAGGTTTATTCAAGTACACAGCAGACCTCCCAGCGTGAAAGCACCAGTGTTGACGGCTGAGAAAAAGGATGTTTATTTGTTCTTGCCGTTCAAGGGGGACCATGTGGCAAATGATATCGAACACAAGCTCCGGTCCGCCATAACGCGCACCTACACGACAGCCCAGTTGCGACTCAGGCATACCACGCGAGGACTTGTTCTTCATAACCGTCAGAGCATCTTGTCGGGTAGTTCAGCCTCTCACATTGTTTATCAGTTCACCTGCGGTTGCGGTGACATTTACATAGGCAGAACAAACAGTCAGTTAGTTCAGAGGGTAGCTGAACATTTACCAAAGTGGTTGGGACCAGTGAATACGCAACAAAATTTGACGGATCTGAGAATTCATCGAAGCCCAGCATCGTCTATCACCAAGCACCTCATGGCTATCCCTCATCACGTGAACCCCGAGACAGCGTTCAAAGTCTTATTACTTAACAAAAACCCGATAGTGCTGGCATTTAGTGCGGCCTAGTTAGTTAATTCTTATCACCCTGTGCTATGTGCACAGGAACTCTTGAGGCAATCAGTTCGGTTGCAATGGTCTTGACTGTAGCATTTTAATTGGTGTTGCTTATTTTTTTCATGTATATATTCCTTTGTGTGTTTCTGCTCGTATTGTGTTTGCGACCGAAGAAAACTGTCGTTGTGTGGACGCAGTTGTCCATCGAGATCTCACAGCTCAGAACTGATGCTTTAGCTGGGGCTTCACTGTTGTCCTCCCGCTAATTATTCTTTCGTTTTTCAGCGTCTTGCAAGAGCATGCCGAACGGATATGCGTACGTGATCGCTGGAGTTGGACTGTCCACGATTTAACGAAATCGGCGGACTTGGCGAAAGTGAGATTTGAAGGAGATGGCATTTGGGGGTGTGTATACATCTACTGGGAAAGTTCACCAACTGGTGCAGCGACACTTGGTATGTCAACTAAAGAATGTCTGCACCGAATGTTCCCTAAGCCGTATTACATGAAAGACCAGCCCGACAGACTCCGTGTAGGCTGAAATCCCCTAGACATCAGCTCGAAGACTGAATGCCAACGATGTAGATAATCTCCCTGGAGGTGCTTCCGGGACTCCTGTGTACCAAACAACTAGAAATTGTGCAGAGGTAGTTCACACAACCATCGCTAGAGCTTTAGCAGTTTGATCCAGCGGTTGAAATGTGGAAGTCTTCGACATCTCTAATTTACAGCTCAGACTTGACGACCAACAGAGCTATCAGTTCTAAACAGTGCGTAACCAGGTTGACATACTTAACCGTCCGTGATATCCCGGAACAACCATGTTTCAATGAAAGCGAGTATATCAGGACGAGATTTGTCTACAAGTAGACCCACCTCGTGTACCTTGTTTCCTAGGCTACGCGCACTGCTGGGTACTACTTGATTGAACTCGCTACGCCCAGCCCTGGGTCTTGCGGCATCAGGATGTGTTCTAGTAGAGCGTTACCGCATAGAGATCCATAATGTCAGGAGATCGTTATACCTCGCTTAAATGGCTATTGATTCTTCCTGTTCTCTTTCCTTTATTGGTCTCTTACTAGCTGGTTATGATATAAACATCCAACCACTTGCGGTATATTTCTTTTGCATTGCAGCTTTGCAGGTCTAATACTACCTGGACACGGAAGTCCTCGGAATTCTCGATCGGACTTATACTACACCCTCGATTGAAGCGATGAGCAGTTTCCCATCACGAGAGGATAAGTCACTCAAAAAGAAGTGCTACTTTCCACCGGATGTTTATAATCAGCGCGAAGAACAGAAAGAGGACCTTATGACGGAGGATTTTGTACGGGATGGTTTTAAGTACATGAAACCCGTTCGTGATGAATACGATTCTTGTAAAAAAGAAAGTAAATTTATCAGCTCGGAAGCAGTTTGGAAGTTTCATCACGACGTTCTGACCCGCAAGCACTCATTTACTGGCGCTTTCGATTTGCGAAAGAAGCATTCGGGCCTCAGGGATTCCATAGTACCCATCACTGACAGCAATAAAATTCAAGTTGGTGACTGGTTTAGAGAACTTGCCGGTGCGACACCTTTGCATAAGTTGGGAAGACGTGTTCCTTATTCTAAGGACAAAGAAGAAATCTTAAATGAGCTGTTATCTAATAGAGTCCCGATATCTCGTGCTGTTTGGCTGGTCAATATGAGCGTTGTTAACACCACTGCTCATGCTGAGACTACCAAGCGAAAATCGCGTTCTCCCTTTGATCCGACGAGCGACTGGACTAGTACTGTTTGTCGTATGCTGAAAAGGATACTGGAATCAATAAATACCGAACGTCAAGATATACCTTCGGACGGAGATTGGGAGTACCTATTTTCCTTCCTTATCGCTCTGTACGACGCGGATTTGGCCGACCATTGGGAGGTGCTGGTGTGGCTTGTTAAGCGAGCCGAAAGTCTCTGGAGACCTACCGTACCTCAAGAAAGTTCTAATCAGATCTGTTTGATTTCGACGGAAGAATCACCAGAACCAGACTTATTGAATACCATTAATTTCTTTCTTTATTATCTCCTGGAGTTTGGTAGAAGGTTTACAGAAAATGAGTTGATTACCCGTCGGCTACTGTTTTGGTGCTGCAGTGTATTTTCGCACATATCTCCGTCAATTGGACGCTGTCGTCCAGCTAAGTCTCGCTGCGAACTACGGATAATCCTTGACGAATATTTGGCCGCATGCGCCTGTCCATTACATCGGTCAATTTTAGTCTCACTCAGCAGCCTCATATGCTGCCTCGTCTTGAAATCCCCGTCAGCTGCTGTTTGGAATATTATCCCATTCGAAACGGATCACGCCTATCTCAACGGGTCACCACTCGAATTCATTCCTTACTCTCTTTCGTTGCTACCTACTTCTGCTTGTGTGCGGAGCTGCCTCCTTGATGTTGAGGAAACCATCATCGAACGCGGTAAACTAGCTGAGTCAGGCTGGAATTCTCATGCCGCATCCACTTTCAATGGCGACGAAGTGAGTATATTCTTTTTGCTTTCTATTCACTTTTTCGCACTTATACAAGCTTTCACATATCTACTCTAAATTACGAATTCTTTTGGACGCCTAATTCATGTAACTAGCACGCAACTTTATTCAAACTACAGGTCATCGCCCACCGTAATTGCACATTCTGTTCGTACTTTTCTTCTGATGTGATCGTAATTTTCGACTGTCGAAGAGCTTTTGGGTAGTACGTTTTACATAGCTACTCGATTCTTACCATGAACTGATCCGATCTGTCATTTAACTTACTGCCCCTACGAGATCAAATGCGCCTACTTATACTTGATGTCATTCTAGGTTGGCCAAAACTCTCAAGTGCTTTTTATGCGTTACGCTATTAGTACAACAGATGAAATAAGAGGTATTCTAAAGAATACACTTTCCTAATCGATCAAAGAAAGTACGCGATTCGAAGCGTAAAGGAATAGCTCATTCTTCACTATGCATAAATGTGCATTTTCGCTAAGGAAGGCGACTGCATTCCTCATTAATGCAAAAAATGTTGCTCCTCTTTCGACGATTCGGTTAGGCTCCTCACTCATTGGTCTAAAAATACAGGGTAGATGAGGCTCGAAAAATCTTTATGTCAAGGAGTTACGAAAATTACGCGGACACTTTCTGCTACAATTTCAATGGATCTGACCGTCAGATTTTGTAACTTGACACGACAGAATGCAGTGGGTATCGAATACGCATCCGAATTTTGTGAGTTGTCTCGTTATCGCTGGTTCTGCTTGTTGCGTGGCTGTGGTATCTTCTAATTCTCGGATTCCAGTTTTAAATACGGACGGATCGCCCTTAGTTTCCCGATGGCTGCTGGACTTATTTCCTCTACCGTCTCTGCAGAAAGAGGAGTCTCGGATTAGAGCCGACAGGTTTCTGCCCAATGCTTGGCTGTATGGACTAAATATTTTTGCTGTAATATGTGTCAAAACAGTCATCCGACTAAGTTGGTTGATCCGTTCTGCTTGGCGTACTGGTACGGAACGGTATTGATGTGAAGTATATAAACATTATGTGCCTGGAATTCAAGCGTTTGATTCATTGGCTCTGCAAACAGTACTGGACAGAATTATGTGTAGTGATGCACGCTTCGGCGTGTTTTTGACACCTCCAAAATGCAGGACTGGACCGACACACCGGTTCTAGCTGTCACAGAACAGCCACTGTAAGTGGCGGATCAGTTCACTTATCTTGGTAGCTGTGTCACCTCTGGTGGTCCATCACTGAGGAAGTTGCTTAACGTAGCAGCAAGCCCCCTGTGGCTTTCCAGAGACTCAATCATCTGTGGAGACGATGGCATATCAGATTGTCAGTGAAAGGTACGGTGTATAAAGCTGCGATAAGGCCGGTCTTACTGTATGGGTCAGAGACCGGGCCAGTTTGCGGCGAAGACATTAGACGCTTGGCCCTGTTTGACCACCGGTGCTTGCGAAGTATTGGTCACGTCTGGTGGGAACACCGGTTGCGCAATGCTGAGGTCCGCCAGTTGGCTTTTTACAAGAAGCCTTTTGGTTCCTCAATCGAGTGCTTACGGTATCTTAATCGACTACGTTGCCTAGGCCATGTCCTCCGCATACCCGTTGACCGGCTTCCTCGTCATGCATTATACGCTGTGACCTCACCAAGTTGGGCGAAACCTCGAGGTGGCCAGTCCATGACATGGCACAGAAACTTGAAGAAATTGTCAGAGGTTTGGTCAGGCTGGCGCGTACCGTCTTCTTGGATAGGGACCTCGGGACGGTCCACACGAATGGTTGGAGACCGTTCCAGACGTGGCGCAGTTACCCAGTAAGTGGCATTCCTGCGTTTGCTTTCTTCCATCTGGTTGTTAATTTTCCTTCCATTTTGCTTAGTCTAACACATTTCCTTCTTGTTCCTGTTTCCTACGCATTATATTCGCATACAAACCCACTGTCCTACCGTTGTTATTTATAGTTGTTCTCACGGTGTGAGTCCTGACAACTGGTTCTACTGCACCTCGATGGTCGGATCCCAGTTGTCCAACGGAACTGAACTGGAATTCAAGCGCTTTAGGGTGCGGCAGGGTTTACGCAACTTGTATTATGTTTTTCTGACGAGTGACATCCTCTGGAGTCTCAGTAATTTTTGCGTTTATTCATCCTTGCTGTGGAATCTATCGTTCAATGTTCTCTGTAGAATCCCACGATGTGGGCGTTGAGGTGCTGCCTAGTGGATGACTCATCATCGTCATCATTATACAAGTTAGCTGCAGGTGTAAAATACATCAGCTGTTGTGCCGCAATACAAAAGAAAAGAAAAAATATGCAACAGTGGCACGCCGGCTGAGTCACCAGTAACGGATGGACATCGTTCGGGAGAGCCTATAGCCGGCTATTGTGCCGCAAAAAAGAGTTATATTATGCTTAATAAATGAGATCGTGATTAGCGGGGCTGTTAAGCGTGAGGGGATTGACAAAGAAATTCAACACAAGCGCCATTGAGGTCGGCTCCTAGCCATGTCAACAAGTGTATCCAGCCGAACGTGTTCATCATCCTTCGGTCCCCAACAAGAGAGACGAAATGCTCCAATCAAATTCGAACTAGGGCCACTCATTCCTCTTAACTTAGTCATCGCTTGGCCACTCCTCCTCTTTCTTACATCCTTTCCCGGGAGACGCAAACAACGCACGTCGCGGGAGTCGGTGTGCTGTCTTGCGCAACACGTGGCCCAGCCATCGGAGCCTGGTACGTGAAATAACGATGCTGAGCGGTTCCCTTCTTCCTGCGCTATGAACAAGGCGTCGAACACGCTGATTGCTCACACGGTGTTCCCATCAGATATGAACCAAACTGCGAAAGCACCGGCGGTCGAACGTAACTAGCTTCTTAATGCCATCTGGTCTAATGCGCCAGCTTTCACAGCCGTACAACTGGGTCGAACACACGGCTGCATTGTACATTCTACCCTTCAGGGCGAGAATGATATCGCACCGGCGCTATCGGTGGCGAAGGTTAGCAAAGCCATATCGTGGTTTTTCTATATGATTTGTGACCTCATCTTCGATTCCAAAGGCGCTGATACAGGTGCTTAGGTAGTTGGACTTTTGACCGACTTCTAGCTGATCGCCACCAAGGGTCAGCGCAAGAGGTGGTCGTTGCCAATCTTGGAGGAAAGCTTTGAATTTTAAGGGTGCGAAGCCTAGCTCGAAACGATTAACAGCCAGTGCTTGGCAGCGGGAAATGAAGTCACTGACGACCAAACTGGGTGCCGTTGGTCCGTCTCGCCTTCCGCACCAGCGACAACGTCAAAATCATCCAAGGTTTGTCCACAAGGCTTCACACTCTCCAGCATATCACTGTGCAGACTTTCGATCAAAGTCACAAACTTACTCGGGCAACAAAGCTTACCCAACACCAACCCCAGTGCCTCGCAGTTCACCGTGTCAAATTCTTTGTTGAGGTGTATAAATAGCGAGTACCGTGGCTGCTTTCGCTCTCTGCATTTCTCTTGCAATTGGCAAGCTGCGAACACCATATCTATGGTGCTGCGGCCGGAACGGAATTCGCATTTCTCTTCCGCCACGTTCGGCTAAACGCCCTGAGTGACGAGGCATTTGAGCAGGATTCGGGTGATTAATTTCCCTACACAACCCAACAAGTTGATATCACGACAGTTCGTGGCATATTGCTTGCTCCCTTTGCCCTTGTACAGTGATAGCACAAAGGCATCCTTCAACTCGGCCGGCATTTTCTCTTCAAACCACACACGTTGCATTTACTAACACGGGTCCGCCGTGTTTCAGTACTTCAGGCGGGATCCCCCCGGTACACAGCCTTCAAAAGTCAAAGAATTACTTATGTTGGCGATGTTCAGCGTTGCATTCCACCTGCTTTACCATCTCCGACCACCCTGCATTCTTGATGCGACAGAGGTCTCGAGTCACTCGCCGTCGAAGTTTGTGATACTGACTCCGTCTCGGAGTCGGCAGGGTTTTGCACATTTGTAGCAAATGCTGCATTCTTTGAAATCAATGCGCCAACGGTCGCACTATTGTCATCAAATCAATCGGGCCGCCTACAGTTTGCGCGCCTGATAGGTTGCCTTGCCGCAGCCGTCTCCTGCCTTCGGATGTGGTGCCACAGTTCGCTGACTAACACAATAGAGTGGGCATCGCCGAGGCGGGTAGTCACTGCATTCTCCAGTTACATCCTTTTCTCGGCAATACCTAGGGAACGGACGTTAAATTTCTGCCGATTCACGGATGGCGATCGATACGTCGCCTGTGGCGTTGCTGTATTTGCTTTCTTGCATGTAGCTGGTAATTCTCATCCCATCTCGTTTAGATTACCGCATTTCCTTCTTGATTCCATTCTCTTTGCATTATATTTACTTTCAACCACGCTTTCTTGTTGTTATTATTCATTATAAATCTGGTGATGTTGTGGCAATTGGATCCACCGCACTTCCGTGCCACTATCATAGTTGTTCAGCTGAACTGAAATGAGCTTATTTGGTTTGATTTTGTCGTCACTAAAGGTTCTATCCTTAAGAACGTGATTTTCTTGTCTGACATCCATGATCCTCAGATTTTATCCTTGTCTATGATAAGTTTTCGGACACTTTGTCGAACTTGCTTTGACTGTACACAGACCAACGTTAAAACGATAAGGAAATGATTATCACGCCCCCCCGCGCGTGGATAACTCACAACATCATGAAGCGTTTCCAAATTTTTCGAATGTGAATCGCTTTTCTATAGGCTTGTATTGTCACAATATAAGCCTATAGAAAAACGATTCATATTCTAAAACATTGGAAATTATGTTATCCCAGTCGGTTCCAAGTGTATTCCAAAATATTGAATCTCAAAGCGTTACATATTTTCTTTCGGCTAGGGGCGGCCAAACGGATGAGGGTTTGCTGCTTTGTGACACGAAGCTCACCTTTTCGAATCTGTGTACCGACGATCAACGTTGCAGTATCCTTACTCTGCGCGCCCGCGCGA